AAGCACGTAAATGGATGCACCGCTTCTCTCGAGCATACAACTGTAGCTTGAATCTCGGCGTGTCGCAATGACGCTTTGTTCTTAATGGCCCCAACCTTTTACCAACAGTTTCTCAGGGAGTTTGACCTTTGACCACCTCTTGCATGTGTTTGGCACTGTTTGGAACAAAGGATTTGCGACTCGTGCCTGGCAGCTTCTGGGGCTAGCGTCTCTGAGGAAATGAACTATAGGAATATTAGTGACAGTGCTGCGTGGCCTCATACGGTGATTGACCACCACACCTACCTACGTCTTGATGAAACCATCAGCCCATGGGCCTGTATTGAAGGCTTTCAGATCGAAAACGTATCCTTTGACATTCTGCACAACCTCTTCTTGGGAACTGCGCGTGATCTTGTGGCATCAGCCATTAGTGTGCTTATTCGCCAACATGTGTATGACCATGTCGAGGGAAACGCAGAGTCCATATTGGGGTATATTCAAAGAGAGATGGCTCGAGATTGCAAGAGCTTTGGGTCTTTGAGTTCAAATTCAGCTCTGTTTTCGTGTGTGTGTGTGTGTGTGTGTTTGGCCATTGGAAAGGGTGCCCAAAGCCGGGTTTCTTTGCAAGTGCTCATTCTGTTGCACTCCTGTGCTCTGTGCAGCTCAGGCTTTACATGCCGAAGAAGCCTGCGTTATCTGAAGCTGCCTTGAATTTCGGTGAATACCCTGAGCTGTCTGGCAAGTTCAAGGCGGCGCACGTGAAACTGCTTTTGTTTTGGTTTGCTCGAAAGACCCAAGAAGTTGCTGACGCTGCGCAAGAGGTTTCTTTGCTGATGTTGTGAAACCCATGCCCAACGCATAGACATGCCACAATCCTTTTGCTTAGGGTCTCAAAGGTTTGTACCAACTTTAGGTGGGTGTTGTTCTTTCCAGTCCGCAAAACCTTTTGATGGGGACCTCACAAAGACCCTTTTGTTATGGGAGGGCACCGCGCCAAATCAGGACCGTGTATTGCAAGCCCTGGCCACATGTTGCTACGCAATTCACAGGTTTGTCGACATTTTGGACCACGCTGACCTGATTGTAGACCGGGATTCAGGGGAACTGTCGCTTCTACACACCAGAGCCTATACTTGGCTTTCCGCGTGTTACTTGAACCGGCGGATCATGCTTTTCAAGATCCGGCCAAAGTTTCATTACCTGTGGCATCAGGCTGTTACCCTCAAGACCTGGCGTATTAACGTTGGTGTTTTCGCGAATTGGGACGAGGAGGCACTGCTTGGAAAAGTTAAATTCATTGCAGTGGCCTGTCACGGCCGCACTGTTACTCAACGTGTTTTTGAGAGGTATCTGTTGGTGTTTGCCTTGACGATCCACAGGCATTCTGAACTGGAAGCCTTGAGCTGACTCGAGCTAGGATTGGGTTTTGATAACTGTTTTGAGTGAAGTTTTGAGACATGTTTGTATGGGAAAAAGTATATCTGAGATATGTTTAGAGAACAACTATGTGTTATTTCTGCCCAGTCCATGGGGAACCGCTTGCGGGGAGGAAGTCGCAAGCTCGCATCGCTCGGACCGGAGCCTTGCGCCAGTCCATGGCCAAAAAGGCTGCGTACTATGGCTTAGCAGCTAGGCCTTTTCCAAAAGTTGGTCGCCCTTGTATCCTTCTATCTCCCCCAAGTTGTTTGAAAGATTATGTGCAATCGCAATGCTTTTGAAAATGGCCTAGCTCAAACAGAGTGGGGCGCAACCCTGACACTGTGGTTGAGCATGTTGCGTGTGTGTGTTTGTGTGTTTGTGTACCCCTGTGTGTTTTTTCTATTTTCTTTTGCGCGCTCAAAAAAGGGAAACCCTTTAGGCCTACAAACCTTGTGTGTGCCCGCGGGTTGACCTGTGCAATGCCTGCTGAAGGGAGAGGGCGAGATGCGAGCGAACTTTGACAAATAGCTTTGCCACAAAGCTTTGCAAAAAAATGGTCTGCAAGAAATGTCTTGGCCTCCTATAGGGGCCCACCAAGTGGGTGGTAGTGGAGCGTAGATTGAGAGGTTTGGGATAGGCGACGTGTGTCACCCCTGCCTACGGGAAAAATGTGTCTGCGCGCGTGTGCTGTTGAACATATACGCATACACGCCTGCACCGTTTCACGGAAGCGACAGCGTTTGCAGTGACACGCGCCGTGT